TCCGACCACCTTACCAAACCTGATTGATGAGGGGTTTCCACTCATCAGGCAGCACCAGATATTAGGAAAAAATTGTATAAACTGGAGGACCTGAAAGAGAACTGCTATTACCAGCTCAGCAGGCCAATAACCACTGAAGCCCTTGAACAAGTCATTACAGATCAGGTACACCAGATTACCTACCTGGGTAAAACAAAGCTTGCTAAGTTAGTTAAGAAAAAATACTTCATGCCTAGTCTAGATAGCCTTATCAATGATGTTGTCTCAAAATATGTTGATTGTACACAGGTAAATTCTAAAACCCTCAGGCAAGGCTCCCTTGGGAATCAAATCTCAGGAAAAAAAAAATAACTTAGGGAACATTGGAAAAATCTATAGTGTCCAATAGTTCAGTCTCTAGATGAAATAAAGCTAAGTAATGTAAGACTAGCCTGATTTTGCATTTCTTTAAAAAGCCACCTTAAATAAATAACTAGATAAAATTAAATAAATATAAATGGAGTAAATGTTTATAATTGAACTTGTCTGTTGAATTAAGGCAATTTTAAATATTAAACTTGTAAAGATAAAAAGTTTCATCAAAACAGAACGAGCAGAAAAGGATTCTTTCCACTGCAGATAAAGACTCTCCCCGGCTGTTAGAATTTCTCCCTCTGCTCCTCCCTTGAAGGAGAAGTTGATTAAAAATTTTCTCTCCCTCCCTGAATTAGAAGATGAGGAATTAACCCCTGAGAAGTTAGAACAGACTGAGTGAGAGGCAGCTCAGTATAATGTTAACAGACATCCTGTAGTAAGTAGTTCTGAGTCAGGAAAATATATCTGTTCCTATTTCACTGGAGCTATCGCAATTGCAGATAATCCCCTGGATAAAACTCGTACTGGAAAAGGTATTAAAAATGTCATTGCTCATTGTTTAAAAGATCATGGAATGGGCCCGAACCTGTGTTGGTATGGGGTCAAGGAGATGTTTGTGTTTTGTTTTGTTTTGTTTTGTTTTGTTTTGTTTTGTTTTGTTTTGTTTTGTTTTGTTTTGTTTTGTTTTGTTTTGTTTTGTTTTGTTTTGTTTTGTTTTGTTTTGTTTTGTTTTGTTTTGTTTTGTTTTGTTTTGTTTTGTTTTGTTTTGTTTTGTTTTGTTTTGTTTTGTTTTGTTTTGTTTTGTTTTCCCCACAGGACAATGATGAAACTTGCTGGCTTGTAGGACACTTGGTGTGGTTTATGGACACCCAGAAAGACCAAGAGGATGTTGTGCCTATGGATCTGCCTAAAGATGGTGACACTTGCTGAAGCAGAAATCTACCAGAAAACATCCCTCTGTCAACACCACACAACTCCAGTTTCTTCCCCCTTGTGACAAAGAAAGTAATCGCCTGGACAATTGGAACTTATTCTGGAAAGAAAGATATAGGTATGAAGATGTATTTATGATTAAAAAAAGTTAAAAAATTTTCAATATTGAAAAAAATTTGAATGATAAAATTTTTGTCCTAAAGTAAGATGACTGGATTATTTTCAGAATAAAAAAAAAGTAAAAGAGGGCAAATAATCAAGGAATAAAACATGTTGCAAAAGGTTTGAGTTATGTTAAAGTGGGTCTAAGAGGAAATTGTAAAAAATTAAAAAGATTTCATAGAAAGATGTATATATAACAAACGATATCTAAAGTGGCCACAAAACAATGGGTATGCTTGAAACTTAAAATTTACATCTGGGGAAATGGGTTAATGGGTTAAATGTGCATTCCTCTGTCCAATGTCATGCATTGTGTCAATGAATTTTTGTCACCCCTAAAATCTATCATGAAAACCAACATAATAGGAAAAAGGTTATAAAACAATTATAAAGTGTCCGGCGTGGGGTCAATAAACCAATAGATATTCTTACACTCCACCGAGATAGAGAACTCACATTCCTCTACCTTTAATGCAGCACAGAAGGCAAATAAATTGCTGCAACAACTGTGTATGTTCTCCTATCACACTGGACCTTTTCAAAGCAGTGGTTAATGCCTGCTGGTATGGCAGCAGGTACTGATCTTGTGTTGCTTCGTTTACCCCCTGCCTGTGCGAATACTCGGGTGCTCCTTTCTTGGAGTTTACTCCCAAATCCACTGGTTAAAACTTGAAGCCAAGGCATTAGATGCAGAGGCTGGTAGTCAATGACGGGTAAGATCCTTGGGATGTTTCTCACCCTAAGATAGGGGGTGCATATAAATATGCATTACCCGATGACGGGTAAGAGAAAATGTCACCAATGACAACCTAAGACAGGCACAGCCTACAGCTCATCAGAAGTGGTGAATCATTTAATAAACAAAAAAAGGGAGTCTATGTGTGGAGCCAAACCAGAGATGTGAGGAATGTGCAGGATGTGACCACCAGAATAAGAGCCTGGTCTTCATCCGGACATGGCCTTGGGTGGCTGAATTGTTATGAGCAAAATGTCTTGGGATTGTTTTAAACTAAATGTTCCAAAGTATTGTTATAATGGTAGTAATATTCTTTAAATTCCCAACCGAGTGCTTCTCTGCTTCTGTAACTTGCTTGAAAATAGTAATGAGAATGATTCCTCATTATGTACAACTCAAGGAGGGAATGTTAGGCCAAGTTAGCTTAATCACTGCCATGTTAGGGAATGCTAGCTGAGTTAGTTTAATTGCTACACTGTTAAGTCTTCAAGGATGGAGCCCACTTTGTTAGGGCCTCAAGAACGGGAACCAGGAGTCTGGGAACTCTCAGATAGGTGGGAGGGCCCAGCACCTCTGAGGCAAGATCATCCAGACCCTTAGCTGAGAGCCCTTATCTAGACCTAAGCAGGTGGTGATAGCTGGACCCTCGCTTCTCATCCCCCCTCCCTTGTATGTGTTACATTCTATGAACAATCCTGAACTATAAAAGATCCCTTTATCTTAGGCTCGGGGTCCTTCTTAAGGCCTGCTTTGACGGGCAGATACTCGGACCCCAGCTATCTGGGAAAAGAATAAAAGCCTCTTTTGCAGTTGCATTGTCATTGTCTTTTCTATGTCTCCATCAGTTAGACCGACCTCTGGACCCTTACACCACCCAGACCCAGCAATAGCCAGGACAGAGAGCTGCTAGCCAGCTCTACCTTTCCCTTTTTAGGGCTTCTACATTCAACTTCATGGCTGTGAAGTCTCCCCCACCAGTATTCCCTCTCAGATGCAGCCCTAGCCAGGAAACAAAATCTGGTACCCAGCTCACCTCTTTTGGGACTCTGGGTTCAACTTCATGGCTGTGAAGTTTCCCCCAGCCAGTGACCCGAACTCAGATCCAGCAATTGCTTGGGCAGAGAGCTGCTACTCAGCTTCAACTTTGCCTGTTTTGGTCTCTGGTACAAATCCATGGCTGTAGAGTTTTCCCTAGCCTTTGAAACTCTCCCAGACCCTCCAATAGTGAGATAGAAAGGCTGCTTTCCTCCTTCTTGCTCTCCTCAGTCTCTTCTAACTACTTTTTCCCTTTAAAAAAAAAAAAACAGCTCTCTGCCTCCTCAGACTCTTCTCTTGTTAATCTGTCTTTTTTCTCACCTAGGACAGAAAGCTAATAGCTGTCTCCATCTTCGCCTGTTTTGGGCCTCTGGGTATAACTTCATGTTTGTGATATCTTGGCTATCTCGTGTTTCCTCCCAGACACAAAATTAGCCAGGTAGGAAGGCAGGTTAGCTCCTCGTTTCTCCTTTGTTTCTTCTATATATATATATATTTTTAAACATCTCTCTACTCTCCATGGGCTTTTCTCTTGTTAATCTCTTTTTTCTCACCTAGGGAAGAAAGCTATTAATGACCTTCACCTTAACCTGTTTGGGCCTCTGAGTCATCTTAATGGTTGTAAAGTTTATAAAAGCCAGTGTCTCTATCCCAGAACAAGCACTCTCAAGGTAGAAAGGCTGCTTTGCGCCCACAATGTCTCTACTGTCTCTTCTAACATTAATTAATTTATTTTCTTAAAAAAACAGTTCTCTGTTACTTGAGATTTTTTAGTATTAATCTGTCTTCAAGCCATCTTCATATTTTCCTGTTTGGAGACACTGGTGTTGCTAAGTGTTCACCACCCTCATCACTGAAAGACTGGACACACAAATGAAGAATGGCCAGACCACATAAAGGTTTAGAATTCTGACCCACAGCCATAAGCAAGCAGTCCAAGACACAACCCCCAACTTCTGTAGTGAGCTACCCACAATAGCCAGGACATGAGCAATCACTTACAGCTTCCCTCACTTTTGTCACTGCTTCCAACTTAGGATAATCAGAGAAAGCCAGCTATCCTCCCCTAACTATCCCCATGCGATGCCCTGACACCAGATAGCCCACCATGACAACTTCCAATCAAAGCATGCCCCCAAATTTCCCTTTTTCCCATTTCAAAGCTTTCCCTCTTCTTGCCTGCCTTCAGGTTCTGCCAAACATAAGCAATGGTGGCCAGCTCCCCTGTGATAGCAAGCTCTGGATGAATGGTGGCTGACTCCCCTGTTACAGGAAGCTCTGGATAAATGATGGCCAATTCCCCTGCTACAGCAAGCTTTGGATGAATGATGGCCAACTCCCTTGTGACAGCAAGCTCTGGATGCATGGTGGCCAACTCCCCCGTGATAGCAAGCTCCTGATGAATGGTGGTCAGCTCCCCTGTGATAGCAAGCTCTGGATGAACGGTGGCCAACTCCCCTGTGATAGCAAGCTCTGGATGAATGGTGGCCGACTCCCCTGTTACAGCAAGCTCTGGATGAATGGTGGCCAACTCCCCTGTGATAACAAGCTCTGCATGCATGACTTTCCTTGTTCTGACTTGGGTGGTATCTGTTTATGTGGGAAGGAAGTCAAGCTCTGACAGCTAGCAGAATGGAGGCACACAATAGCTGCTCAATAAATATTTGGGGGATTTGAGCTGAATTGAGTCTCCAGTGGAGTGATGGTAATAACTACCTCACTGTGCTGCAATGAGGATTAAATTAGATTGCCCAAGTACAAACATTTTGAAAACTACAATGTGTGATGGAGTCATAAGGTATTATTAAGTTTAAAACAATGTATCATCAGAACCACTTAAAAGAGCAGTCGTGAGATGCTGTTTATTCTGTGGTTTCTTGATGATGAGAAACCCTTGGAATCATTTCCAGCTTTTGTACATTTCTCAAAGACCTCCAAATAGAACTATGATTTGATTCAGTATTCCTAGTACTAGGTATACACCCAAAGGACAGAAAATGCCCAGTCAGAAAAACACTTGCACATCCATGTTTACTGTAGCATTATTCATGATGGCTAAAACATGGAACCAACCCAAATGTTCATAAACAGATGAACTGATTGAAAAAGTGTGGCAAATATATTCTAGAAATACTACTCAACCCTATAAAAACAAGACCCTGGCAGTTGATAGAAAGTGGACAGATATGGAGAATCTATTGCTGAGCGAAACAAACCAGGATATGAAAAAAAGTTATTGTATTATCCACTTAATATACAGCAAATATCTGCACTTTATGGTAGAGATTGAAATATTGGAGGGCATAAAAGCAGTGAAAATAGTTAAGGATGCTGAAGACAGTGTGGAACGGGGTGGGGGGATAGGAAGACTATAGAGAAAAACAGCAAGAGAACAAATAGACATGGCATTATTGGGACACAGAAATGGTAGTGGTGGTTACTATTGAAGATATTTTGATCAACTGGACTGGGGAGGGGAAATGTTCACATATTGAAATGTTCACTTTGTAAGCTAAATAATGTGATTGAATGTATATTAAAAAAAAAAGAAAAGAAAGTATTTAAGAACAAACTAACGACAACAAAAAAGAAATGGTTTATTACTTTTTGATAATCATGCTAATTCATGTATAGTATTCTCAGCTGGACTGATCTGAAAAGTATTTCATATTGGGTAAATTATTTTTTCAAACAAGTGATGCATAGTGGTTTAATGCTTTAAAAATAATGATAATAATAACAATAAAAATCCAGAAAAAATGTTAAAAAGCTATTTGATGATGATGAGGATAGTAATGTCTTTGTGTTGCCAAATATGCATGGTATTTCCTTTGGAAAAAGACATAAAATACATTTTAAAGATATTTATGACCCAATGCAATATAAACAAGATGATGATAATAAAATTTAATAAAAGAGGAAGATTGTGCCATGGTCATCCTTCTGGGGGTGGGGGGGAGGAGTGAATTTCTCCCTTTCCTTCTTTTTCTCTCTTTTCAGTGAGCATAGATGCCCTATTGGCAAAAATAAATACATAAATAAATAAACAAACAAACAATAGCTAAAATGTAAAAAGTATTGATAATACCAAATGGTGATGAAACAGGGCGAAACTGAAACACTCATACTTTTCCAGTGGAAATGTTAAATGTTATAGACACTCTGAAATCCTGATTAAAATTTTT